CTTTGAAAATTGTGTTACTTTGATGCTACTGTAGTTTTAACAAGAAAAGCCTCTTCTCATTTCCCCTTGTTTTACTCATGGCCATCTTGGTTTTCAGAAGAGGACAAGCCTGCTTCTATATTTTCTTCCTTTTTGTTCTCCCACCCTTGAATTTCCCTCCTGGCTATTCCAATGAATCTCAACATTACTGGATCTTTCCCCAGCACAGAAGAGATTCAGTCTCTCAGACAGAGCTCAGCTAAGATGGACCTTTACCTTATCTCAAGCATGCATTGTTTAAAAGTCTTCTTGTTCACACTCTTCAAGACTTGAATACCTTGAATCATTTCATGGCATTGTCCCTCGCAGCTGTTAATACTGTAGGTCAGTCTCTTGACTGCTAAATCTCATCCTGAACAATTCCCCCGCCCCCCCCCCATCATTCTTTTGAGAATATCCTTTCTTTTGCTGCATTGTCCTTTTGATTGTAGGTACAAAAAAACCTGTGTGGTCACTATGCTGTAGGAAAGAGGCTGTAGCAAGGTAAAAAGAGAGAAACCTGTGCTATGCTTCTCCCAATTCCAGAATTTAAAATAAAGTTATTTATTATATTTATTTATTTATTTATTTATTTATTTATTTATTTATTTATTTATATAGCTGCCCATCTCACAAAAAAGTGACTCTGGGCGGTGTACAACAGTTAATTAAAAAACCCATAAATGTGTATAAAACAATCATTAAAACTATAAAAACTACACACAGCAGGAGAAGATGATGTTAACCATCATAAGGGAGCCATCATAAAATCTCCCCAGTCTCCTGGGGCCCCCAGGCCTGATCACATAGCCAGGTCTTGAGGGACTTGTGGAATGTTAAGGGGGGGCGAGGCTAATCTGACTTCTGCGGGGAGGAGATTCCACAAGGCAGGCGCCACAGCAGAGAAGGCCCACCTCCTGGAATCCACCAGGTGGAATTCCCTGGTAGGCGGGACCCACAGCCTACCTTCTCTGCCAAACCTGATGGGATGGGCAGATGTAATCGGGGAGAGGTAGTCCCGCAAATAACCTGGTCCCATGCCATTAAGGTTTTTAAAGTTCAAAACCAGCACCTTGAATTGGACCCGGAAAGAAACTGGCAACCAATGCAGCTCACAGAGCAGAGTTGCCCTTCTGGGGGCAGATATAACTGCCTGTGCCACTGCATTTTGCACAAGCTGAAGCTTCTGGACACTCTTCAAGGGCAGTCCTATGTGGAGCGCATTACAGAAGTCCAAATGGGAGGCGACTAGGGCATGAGTGACAGTGAGCAGAGGCCCC